CATTTTAATATCCTAGATGGTTTGAGTCTTTGTTCCTTTGAAAAACCTTGTCTCTAATCCCAGAGTGGGTAAGGGATTAGTTCCATTTGCTTCCCTTCCACCTCTATTCCTAATATAAAAGAGTCCAACTCATTTCTCCCACTGTAGCTCTAGACTAGACTAGACTGAGTTGTGGTAACAGCTACCATGACCACCATGCCTGGCACCTCTGAGTGAACTCTTCCTCCTCACTAGCCTGGCCTAGAAATCTTTGGTAGAAATAAATCTCCTTTTCTGAGTTTACTTACTATTTTGCAAAGAATTTACACTGAAAAATAAATGGAAGACATCTGTTTCTAGCAACATAATGGACTGAGCTAATGTGAAACTACTCCAACTATACACATCTAGAAATGTTAAAAAAAAATGTAACACAGACACACGGACATTTTAAAATAATCTAGCCTGGTTCACAAGAAAGGTAAATCCCTAGACGCCAAAAAAGGAAGAGGGAACTAAAACCAAAATGGAAAGAATACAACGTGCTACCACAACAACATAGGGATGAGGAAAGGATCTAGAATAGGACCTGATGGCTAGGGGTCTGACGCTTCATAAAACTTTGGACCCTTGAAAGATAAGGAGTTGGAACTGAGATCCCTGCATGAAGCTAGACTGTCAAGAGTCCTGCACCTGCAGGAAAGGGAGACTAGAAAAACAGTCCACCACTCTAGAGAGAAAACTTCTCTCTGTCGAGGGCTCTGAGAAAAAAAAAGTTAAAATAAAAACATTGAAAATTTAAAGCCCTAAGCCCACATTGTACTCAAATGTGGACACAGAACTATGATGGTTGTATGATAAAAGGATTCCTAAGCTAAGAAATTAACATAAAAACTGACATCTGACTAGTGATATCCCTAGGATATCTGGCAGAAACACACACAAAATCTCTTTGGGAGCATGTTCATAACTTAGGTTGTTTAGAATTCCCTCAGAAGAAACACTTTCCACTGAAGATGAGCTTACAACTAAACATTACAAAACGCACCTGGAATCTATCCATCAAAACAACTAGTAAATTAAAAAAAAAGATCAGAACCACTATTTCAGAACTCTGGATTCTGATTGGATACTGATAACAACCAGGGGAGTGTCTGACAGAGAGGCTAATGATCTTGGGTAGAAAAACAACATGTACAAACTACCTACCATGCCCCTTCCCTCAGCCCTGCCGTGACTGTGAGGGCAATGGCCTGTGTTCTTTGGGTGGATGCCTGGTGCTAAGGCAGGCAGAGGGGATGCCCTCCAAAAACTTGGGGTTGCACATTTTGGTCAGTCTGGTGAATCACAGAGCCCAGAGCAAATGAGGCCATGGTTTTAGCCCTATTGGCTGCAGCAGCTTCTCCCACCAACATCAATCAGAAGATTTAAAGGCACAAAGGAACAAGAACACCTGTTTTGTTTTTATTCAGCCAGACATTTAAGGAAATCTTTATCAGGTCACTGGCTGCCTGCTGGGATAATGGAACGGAAACCTCATACTAATATACATACGATACATACAATAAATATACACTTAACAATATTTGTTTGGAGAAGTCACAAATGAATGGTGGCAGCAATGATAAGCAAAGTCAGCAATTCCTGGGAATAAAAGAATCTGATTTCCAGAGTTATCACATTATAATACTCAGAATGTCTGGCTCTCAACAAAAAATTATGAAGTATACAAAGAAACATAAAAGTATGGCCCATTCATAGAAAAAAAAAAAAAACTTGACAGAAACCATCCCTGAGGAAGTTCAGACACTGGAATTATTAGTCAAAGATGACAAATCAACTGTCCTAAATATGCTCAATGTGCTAAAGGAAACCATGGACAAAGAACTAAAGGAAATTAGGAAAGTGTGTTAACAAAATAAGAACACCAATAAAGAAATAGAAATTATGAAAAGAAACCAAACACTGGAGTTGAGAAGTACAATAATTGTAATAAAAAATTCACAATAAGGGTTGAACAGCAGATCTGAGTGGGCAGGAAAAAAGGATCGCAGACTTGATAATAAGACAACTGAAATTATCCAGTCTGAGGAGCAATAAAACACAAAAATCTTCAGCAGAATATGAGCAAATCAAATTCAGCATCGTACTAAAAGGATTACAAACTACGACTAAGTGGGATTTATCCCTAAAATGCAAAAATGACTTAACATAAGAAAATCAATGTAATACACCATATTAATAAAATGAAGGGGGAAAAACCTAACATGATTGTCTCAATTGACGCAAAAAAAGCATCTGACAAAATCCAACACCCTTTCATAATAAAAATGCTCAGTAAACTAGGAATACTTGAAAGAAATTTCTTCAACATGATAAAGACTTTATGAGAAAAACCTCACAGCTAACATTGTGGTCAATGACTGAAAACTTTCCCCCTAAGATCAGAAACAAGACAAGGATTTGGCTTTTATCACTTTCAGTCAATATAATACTACGTAGTTCTAGCCAGAGCAATTAGGCAAGAAAAACAAATAAAAGGCGTCCAAATCAGAAAAGAAGTAAAAATTATCTCTGTTCACAGACAACATGATCATATATGTAGAAAATCGTAGAGATTCCATGAAAAGTGTTAGCGCTAATAAACAAATCCAGCAGTTTCAGAATACAAAAGCAATATACAAAACTCATGTGTATTTCTATATAACAGTAATGAACAACCAGAAAAGAAAACTAAAAAAACAATTTCTTTACAGTGTATTACTGGCACAAAAACAGACATAGAGACCCATGGAACAGAATGGAGAGCACAGAAATAAACCCTCAAAAATATGATCAACTGATTTTTAACAAGGTTGCCAAGACCATTCAATGGGAAAGAACAGTCTCTTCAACAAATGGTGCTGAGAAAACTGGATATCCACACGCAGAGGAATGAAGTTGGACCCTTACTTTACACCATATACAAAAATTAACTTAAAATGGGTCAAAGACTAAATGTGAGAGCTAAAACTATAAAACCCTTAGAAAAAACATAGGGGAAAAAACTTCATGACATTACATTTGGCAACGATCTCTAGGACGACACCAAAAGCACAGGCAACAACAACAAAAAACATATAAATTGGACTTCATCAAAATTAAAAATTTTCATGTATCAAAGGGCTATCAAGAGAGTGAAAAGACAACCCACGGAATGAGAGAAAATATCTGTAAAGCACATATTTATCTGAAAAGGATTAATACCCAGAACACATAGACCTGCTAAAACTCAACAACAAAATAGGAACACAATTCAAAAATGGGCAAAGCTTGAGTAGACCTTTCTTTAAAAAAGTATACTAACGATCGACAGGCACATGAAAAGATACTTAATATCACCAGCCATTAGGGAAATGCAAAGCAAAACCACAATGAGATACCACTTCATATCCACTAATATGGCTATTATTTTAAAAAATGGAAAATAACAAGTGTTGGTAAGGATACAGAAACTGGAAGCCTAGTGCATTGCTGGTGGGAATGTAAAATGGTGAAGCTGCTGTGAAAAACAGTATAGTGGCTCCTCAAAAAATTAGACAGAATTACCACATGATCCAGCAATTCCACTCCTGGGTATATACTCAGGTATACCCAGATATACCCAAAAGAATTGAAAGCAGGAACTCGAACAGATACATGTACACCAATGTTCATAAAAGTATTACCATAGCCGAAAGGTGGAAACAATCCAAATGTACCCCAACAGATGAATGGATAAACAAAAGTTGGTATATACATACAATGGAATAACATTCAGCCTTAAAAAGGAAAATTCTGAAAAATGCTGTAACATGGATAACTCTCAACACATTAAGCCAAGTGAAATAAGCCAGTCACAAAAAGACAAATACTGTAAGATTCCACTTACATGAGGTACTTAAAACAGGCAAATACATAGAGATGAAGTAAAACATAGGTTACCAGGTGCTGGGAGGAGAAAGCAATGGAAAACTATTGCTTAATGAGTACAGAGTTTCTGTTTGGGATATGGAACAAATTCTGTCAATAGATAGCAGTGATGGTTATGCAACATCATGAATGTACTTAAGGACACTGAATTACACATTTTAAAATGGTTCAAATGGTAAATTTTAATTTTATGTGTATTTTACCACAATAAATAAAAGCCCTTATTAAACTGATAATTTTTAAACAAATAATTATATCTTTGATTTTTAAAAAATAGCTATTTGTTAAAAAAAAAAAATTTTAACACAGACGTTAAAATAAGTGAGATTAGTATATTCAAGAAATTAGATCACAGAATGGAGAATTTTAGCAAAGAACATCACAAAAAAATCAACAGAAAATTCTAAAGGTAAAAAATAGTAAACAAGTATAAAATTAAGAACTCAATAGACAAGTTTAACAGCAGATTAGATACAACTGAAAAGAAAACCGGTAGATCAGAAAATATCCAGACTAAAGCTGGAGGGGGCAAAAAAGAGATTGGAAAATATAGAAAAAAGCCTAAGAGATATTTGGCACAAGTGAAAGTAGTGAAAACATCTAACATACGTGTATAGAGCCATAAAAGGAGACAAGAAAGTGGAGCAGAAGCAACATCTGAAGAGATGTTCTAAGAATTTTCCAACACTAAGGAGAAAAGCACCCAAAGATTTAAGAAGCAATAGGAACCCAGAGCAGGAGCAACACTGCAACACCGCACGCGCGCGCGCACACACACACACACACATGTATAGAGCCATAAAAGGAGACAAGAAAGTGGAGCAGAAGCAACATCTGAAGAGATGTTCTAAGAATTTTCCAACACTAAGGAGAAAAGCACCCAAAGATTTAAGAAGCAATAGGAACCCAGAGCAGGAGCAACACCGCAACACCGCACGCGCGCGCACACACAAACACACACACACACACACACCCATTGTAAATTGCTAAATACTAAAGGCAGAGGAAAAAATCTTAAAAGCAGACAGAGGAAAAAAAGAAACTTTAACTCCAAAGGAACAAGGAAAAATAGAAACAACAGAAACCAAAAGATGACATCTTCAAAATGTTGAGAGAAAATAACTACTAACCTGGAATTCTCTACCCAAAGAAAGCACCCTCTAAAAATGAAGTGGGAAAAAAAGCCCCATAAGCAAAAAATGAAGGTGAAGGTGAAATTTTAAAAAGTTAGAACTAAAAAAACTAAATGACAATAATGTGGAAGATGAATGAGGTGGTGACTGGAATTAAAATATTCTAAGGTTCTTGTAATAGCAACTCAAGAATACATGTTAAACATTTTAATAATAACAGACGTTAAAAGAACAGAAGTAGAATGTCATACTTTCAAACAAGTGAAAGGAATAAAAAAGGAAGAAGAAAATTATATCAATCCAATAAATGAAAGAAAAAGAAGCAAAGAAAAATCACGGCAAATAGAATGAACAAAATAACGTGCTAGAGAGAAGGCAAGATGGCATAGAAGGTAGTGGCAACCACTTCTAGCAACCGCACCAAAATTATAACAAAACTACACAGCAACCAGCAAACGGAGTCACCTGAGGTCTGGCTGAACAGAAGCCCTAAAACTAGGGACAAAATATAAGAGGTCACCTCAAAACAGCAGGAGGGGTGGAGACACGAAACGGACCGGTCCCACAACTGCATGTGGCAGCTGGCCTTGGTTTCAGATGTGGCCTCTCGAGGCCTAAAAGCCCAGCACGGGTAGCAGCCATATGTAGATTGCTTGGTGACTCTTACCAGGTGGCCCCGGAAGTGCACAAGCTGCAGCTGAACTTGGCCTGCAGCTGGACCTCCTCCCCCTCAGGACTATGCCACTGGGCCCCACAGCACACCTACTACATAAAGCCACTCTACTAAGACTGGGAGACTTAAGAGCCCTACCTAATACATAGAAACAGACACAGGGAGGCAGCCAAAATGGGGAGACAAAGAAGCATGTCCTACATGAAAGAACAGAACAAAGCTCCAGAAAAAGAGTTCACCAGAATGGAAACGAGCAATACACCAGATGCAGAGTTCAGAACACTGGCAATGGAGGATGCTCAAGGAACTTAGGGGAAGAGTAGATGAACTCAGTGAGAACTTTAACAAAGAGATAGAAAACAAAAATGGAGATGGAAAAGATAATAGGGAGCCAGTCAGAAACGAAGACTACAACATCTGAGATGAAGAGTGGTTTAGAGAGAATCAACAGAGTGATGAAGCAGAGGATTGAATCAGCAATTTAGAGGATGGAGTAGTGGAGGACACCCAATCAGAACAGCAACAACAAAAAAGAGTCCAAAAAAATGAAGATAGTTTAAAGACTCCTCTGGGACAACATCAAGCATAACAATATTCATATCATAGGGGCTATCAGGAGAAGAGAGCAACAAATTGAAAACTTATTTGAAGAAATAATGATGGAAAATTTCCCTAACTTGGTGAAGGGAATAGACATATAACCCCAGGAATTTGAGAGTCCAAAACAAGATGAACCCAAAAAGGCCTACACCAAGACACGCCATAATTAAAATTCCAAAGGTTAAATCCAAAGAAAGAATACTAAAAGCAGCAAGAGAAAAGCAATTAGTTACCTACGAGGGTGTTTGCATAAGACTGTCAGCCAATTTCTCAACAGAAACTTTACAGACCAGAAAGGTTTGGCACAAAATATTCAGTGATGAAAACCCAGGACATAAAATCAAGGTTATTTTATCCAACAAAGCTATCATTTGGAATTAGACGACAGATAAAGAGCTTCCCAGACAAGAAAAAGCTAAAGGAGTTCATCATCACCAAGCCAAGGAAATGTTAGAGGGACTTCTTTAAGAAGAAAAAAATATATATCAAAAATATAAATAAAAAATGGTAATAACTACATACCAATAAATACCTCAAATGAAAAAGAATTAAATGTTCCAATCAAAAGATAGGGTGGCTAAATAGATACGAAAACAAGACCCTTACATATGCTGCCTACAAGAGACTCACTTCAGATTAAAAGACACTCACAGACTAAAAGGAAGGGGATGGGAAAAGATGTTGCACGATGGACCAAGAAGGTAGTATGCTGAGTGGAGTTAAGTCAGATAGAGGAAGATAAAAGCCAGATGATTCTATGTATATGTGGAAGCTAAAGAACAAAATAAACAAACACTTGCAGGTGGAGCCGAGCTAGACCAAATGGTGAAAACTCCCAACAGCAGGGAGAAGTGTCAGTGACAGCTATAGCCTCCAATTATTGCCCAGATAGAAAGTTCTTCCACTCCTCTTACCTGAAGCGAATAAAAATATGTGCCTAGAATAACAGGCGCTGAGAACATAATGGGTACAAGATAGGGAGTTCACTTACTTGTTTAGACAAAGGTGAGCTTCAATGAAGATATCCTTAGCTTTTTCAGGGAAGTCCTTTATTTTAAAATTAGCATCATATTCTCTTATCTTCCGTATTCTGTAAGATTAAGCATGAGAATAATTTCTAAAGACTTAGTACAATTTTCATAACTCACAACTTAATATTAACTTCCATTAATGTCTATCCACTTATTTGATAACTGTTTTTTGAATGTGCCAAGACCTGTAAATTCAACCTTCTAACTTGCACTTCATTATTCTAAAGAAAGATCAAGGTTTTTCATAATAAAATTTCAGAATTCTGGCATCAAAGAAAACACCCTATAAGCATTAAGAAAGAAAACATAGGTTTCATACAAAGGCTCAAGAGTCAGAATGACATCAGACTTCTAAATCACAACATTATAAGTTGGAAAGACAATGCAGCAGTGCTTTTAATTGAGGGAAAAAAGAATTTCTAGCCTAGAATTCTATACCTGAGTAAAGTATAAATGAAGTGGCAGAGTAAAAGAAAGACTTTTTCTTAGGCTTGCAAGATTTCATTTTACCTACCATGTACCCTTTCTCAGGATAAACCATTAAAGAGAAAGACATAAAATCCAGATACCAGGGAATACAACACAAAAGTAAGGCAAAAGGAATATTAGGATGATCACAAAAGTAGATCACAAGATGCACAGTGGACCTGAACAGCAATGAGTACAGATTAAAACAGGTAAGAAGGCTCCAGAGGGATTTCTTCTTGAAAATGAAATTGATAAAAAACTTAATGAAATTAATAAAATACTTCAATGTACTAAGAGGAAATTTACACAACCAGGGGTTCTATAAGCAAATAAAAAAAAAAGGCACTTAACTCTAGAAAAAATATATAAGGAAAAATCATGATAATGCACTGCATGACTCAACTATCAACACCATTCTCTTAGTTATAATAACATAAACAGGAAGTTCCAATCTAATTAAAATGTTAATATAAGTATATTAAGAGGATGAGAAACACCATAACCAAGTGGAATTTATGCCAAGAATGCAAGGTTGACTTAACATTCGAAAATCAATTAATGTAATACAACAACATATCAACAAAAGACAAATATCACATGATCATCTCAAAAATGCTGAAAAAGCATTTGACAAAATCCAACACAGCCCTTCACACTTTTTTCACCCAGAGCCTTGTTTGTACTGTTTTGTCTCCCTAAAATACTATTTCTCACTATTCCCCTCTACCCACCTAACTCCAAGTAATTCTTTAGGTCCCAGCTTTAATGTCATGTCCCCAGGGAAGCCTTCCCTGAACATCTAGACCAAGTTATCGTTCCTGTCATGTTCCCATAGCACTCACACTTCACCATACCTCTAATTATTTAATTGTGTATAATCGGTATTTAATGGCTGTTTTCTTATCCTAGATGATAACTCCATGATAAAACCATGTGTTATGTTCATCATTATCATGGACCCAACCATCAAAGAGCTCAGGAAAGAAATACATGAATGGAAATCATCACAGTATAGGGTTTTTAGAAGTTGTATGTATAAGTGTACAGTTACAATTACAGCAAAGGCAGCTCCAAGAAAGTCAGGGAAGGCTTAAAAGCAGATATAACACTCAACTGGTTCTTGAGGAATAAACTGAAGTTACCGGGTGAAAAAAGGAGAAAAAAGACATTTTCAGGTAAAGGAAAGGATGTACAAAGACAAAGAGGCATAGCATAATACTATAGAATAACAGTATTAGGACTATAGTAATAAATATATATTATATTATAGCATTATAATACTGTAATAAGGAATTGGCAATTAGTTTGGACATGCTGAAGTTTAGGATGAGAAAAATGGAATAAGGAGATGACGATGGCGAGAAAGTTAAGAGCTATATTATAAAAAGCCTTAAATACCACTGAAGAAATCCAGATTTTATTCATCAGGTAATAGGGAGCCACAAAAATTTTAAGGAAAAAAGGTGATGTGATAAAATCTGTAATTAGAGAAATGTTATGGCCACATGAAAAATTAACATCGACTCGATACACTTGTGCATAGAAATCTATGACCCTAAAGAACCTTAAAGTGACAAATACTAAATGTATCTGTCTTTTCAACTAAAAGAGAGACTTAGAAGAAGGTTTTGGCTTCAGCTCCTTAACTAAGGCTTAGTTAGTTCCCGAGAACAGGTCCATCTACTTGACCCTTTTTGGCTTTACTTATTTTCTGAAGTTTAAATTCTAATATACACTTCTCATATATTCTTTTACTTTAAACTTTAAAATATGTAATCAAGTATCCTACAAACTTCTAAGTCACTCCCTAATGTAGCAAAAGCAACCAATGAAGGCTGAGATGCTAAGACTTAGAATGCCCATATGATTCTACATTAACTGAGAAAGAAAATACTGTGAAGTTGTTATGGGAGATATATACGATCCGATTAACCCAAGATGGTCTCTCCAGAGTAAAGTAGTAACAAGAAATTTTTATTCTAATACTGACTCCCAGTTGTTTCAGACACCTACGACAATTGTGATGCCACGTTTTTCTTCAGTCGCTCAGTTTTCTGTGCTAGTCCTTCCTTTGAAAGAGATGAGACCCGAGCATCACCCTCTGGAGGAACATAGGCATCAAAAATACCAGCTGTAATGAAAGAAGGAGAAAAGTAAGAGAGCATTGAAAGACTGAGAAAAAGTCATCTTGAGGTCACATAAAATTAGGAGAGATCCTAGATTTAAAGTAGACTAATGAACTAGACTTCTGTGTAGAGGGAATTATTTGCATTAGAAAAAATAGAATAAGATAATTTAAGTCTTCTCTCAGAGCTTCAGTTTCTTCTTACACAAAATGGGGAAATTTCACCCTTGCCTTGTAGAAATACAAAGATCAAAGATGACCTCAGGAAATACAGTGTATGCAAAGTAAATCACTATTGAGGCTCGATTGATTTTGTGGTTAATTAAATATAGTCAATCATAGTCCAAATTATTCCACATTTCAGATTAGCTCTGACAGGAGACTGGGTCTCAGAAATACCATGCCTCACCTGTACAAGCCAGATGTATGGGACGCTCCAAACGTTCCGGAGGAATGACCACTCCTGCTTTTCGGGATTGTTCTATAAACTCCTTTTCTGATTTGTATTTGGGTTCATAAAGAGGAGGTGTGAAACGTTTTTTAGTTCTCACTGGAACTACAGCTATGGACTGAGTCACCAGGACTGACTGGAAGCAGGAAAGGTTAGGATATAGGTAACCTGGAAATAAATCTACTATCTTAAACAAATTCTAGGCAAAGATAGAAAAGGTACACCCAAAGAATGACTTAGGAACAATCAAAAAGCCACGTATCAAGAGAAAAAAATGCATTACTTCCTTATCACTTATGCCTGTTTTTTACTAGAAGCTAGTAAGCAACTTTACTAATGGCACTCGACATTTACTGAAGTCTTTCCTTTAGTATGCTCCATAGTACAGGACTATGCCAACTCCTAGGGATACAGCGTTGATTAACGCAAGGCTTCTGCTTTGAAAGAACCTTCAGTCTGATGGGGAACTTAAACACCAGCCCAATACTGAAATGGGTGAAATGCTATTATTAAAGTATAAAAAAAGTCCTTTTCTTGGTATCTCCTCTATATTTACTGAGATTACATTCTGCTCATTCTATTGGGAGCCTCACTGTAAACATCATTCTGTCGGTCTAGCTCCCAACTGATCAATAAAGGCCAGGTCTCTTTAATCTCTGACCATGAGGTTTGCTCAGGCAGGTATAGTGACAATACAGGACTCCCTCCTTTCCAGCCACTGTTCCATTTAGAACATTTATAAGAATCAAGGGGAAGAGGTCCCGCCTTTCAAATCGTTCTTTCCCCCTTTAACTCTGTCCCGCCAGAGAGACCCAGACCAAAAGAGAGAAACTTAATCCCTGAGAATTTGCTCGCCCCCAATAGCCCTAACCCAGGAGCCTAGGTTAGGAACTCTACTCGGCCACAACTCAGTAGCTAGGTCCCGTCTATAACACTCTTCCCTAATCTTGATATGATTCGTATCTTTGAAGCTCACTAAGGACGACTGCGAAGGGAGTATTTCCCTCTATACTGTCCTCCTCCTCCAGCCCCTAGGGTCCTACCCGCCCCGTCCGTACCCACCTGCCGAGACCACGATCCTAAAGCCCTGGATAAGCAAGACAACCCCCGCAGCATGGGAGCTGCCATTTTGTTCACGCAAAGGCTGCTGGGATGGGGACTACGAAGAGCCTGGGGCAGGAGAGAAGGCGCAAAGGGCGGAGCTTACCCGGGTGTGGAATTTTTCAGGGTGCGCGCCCTCCGTCGAAGTGTGAGAGGCGCGAACGCGCACGTGCGCGTGGAGTACGGACTGCGCGTGCGCGCTAGGAAGGCTGTGGGGGTAGGGTGGAACGCACGGCTGTCACGCGCCAAACCGAGCGCATTGGAGCGCGAGCTGCGCTTGCGCATGAGGCTTTCTGGCGCCCAGGAGGTTTTGCATTCCTATAAGGTTGGGACATTGTGGCACCTTGTTTCAATAAGGAGGATAATGAAAAGGTGTGGCTTTTCTGAGACAAGTGTTTTTCTTCAATGCCTATTTTGTTCCCAGAAAGGGCAGTAACAAAGAGTGTCTGGGTCTGTATCTGACCTTAATATGGTATGTAACCATAAACTTGAGCCCTAGTTTTCCCAGTCTGTGCTGTGTGAAGAAAATTATTTCTTAATGTCAAATTAAGGGATTGAATGACTGCTATATTGATTCAACAGATAATGACTACTGTGTTACTGAAGCAAAAGACGTGTAGACTGACAAAAACATTTCTCATTTGTCATTTCGGGGAAAGAGGCACAAGATTAATAGTAACAAATAATAGTTTACACTTAGAAATGTTTACTGGGTGCCAGGCAATTTTCTATGCGTTTACATATATTAATTACTCCTCACCACAAACATGAGTACTGGGCTCCGTTTACATATGAGGTTAGGTTGCAGAGAAATCAAGTACAAATTTTATTTAAGGTCACACGGCTAATAATTGGCAGAACTAGGATTCAAATCCAACCAGTCTAACTTTTTTCTTTAAAACGCCTGCAGCATCTGGTATTTCTAGGTGAGCCAAATACTAACGAGGCTCAACCCTGCTTAGCTTTGGAGATCAGGCATGTTCAGGGGTCATGGCCATAGCCAACCAGTCTAACTCTAGAACCAATGCACTAACTACTAAGCCATACTGCTTCACATTCAGTTGTTAAAGGATTCATGATGTTGAGATCATCGCAGAAAAATCCAGTGCTGTAATCATTGCTAAATGGCAAACACTTTCCATACTTACTCATAGGTTCTTATGCTATTCTATCAATTAGTGTTTATTGAAGACTTACCTATAGCATTTTGCAATGAGGTAGGAGCTATACAAGAGCTTACAGGCTAGAATAGATTTGCTACAAAGTTCCAGGTAAAATATTAGGGACTATCAAAGGAAAGCGATTACTTTGGGATCTGGGGATCAAATGTATTGTCTTAAATCTTGACTTCTTATCTATACTGTAAATTCCCACAAGTCCTAGCCACAGTACTGAACCTATAGCACGACACATTAATAGTGACATGAAATTAGGTGCTATATGTACATGTTAATTATAGAATATATATTATTAAGCATTTAAGTGAGAGATAACAAGAGTCCTGTTAATCTACTCTATGCCCCAGAAAATAAAACATGATTTTTTTTTGCTGGTCTCCCCACTGAAGTTAGAAAACCTAACTCCATGACGAGTGGTTATTGATTAACACAGAACACTGATATAGTCTATCTGGGATTATCTGCTCCACTGTTGAGTTTTATGTTGGCCTCACATGGTAGCCAACACATCCCAGATCATCCTCTGCCTGCCCTCTGATCAGTTTCTCAGAGAATGCAAATTTGTTTCATATCGACCTGAATAAAATAATAAGGGGAGTCAATATCACTTAATTCTGAGATAAATTATAAGTGGGCTTTATTAGCTGCTCTTTTGGAAAATTCATATTATCTTCGTATCCTCATTAATTCCACTGGGAAAATTGGGAGTTGTCTGCTGGAGAAATAACACCAAAAGGATATTTCTTAATCCTACAACCCCAGTAATTCACATTTCAGAAAAAAGCAAGATAAGAGCAAGAGAAAGGAACTCATTGTACAATCAGAGGAAGTAATAAGGTAGTTAGGGGCTCAGCCTCGCAAAGGACAGTCTTGCACATAGTAGACGCTCAAGTATTTATTTGTTCGGTACAAGGATGAGTAGAATTTCAGATGAAATATGATGAAGCAGAGGGCAAAGTTGATTTCCTGTTTCTCCAAATACAGGGGATTCCTAGAATCATCTGTTATCCTGTTGAAATTTTCTAAATGGAGAGAAAGAGAATGAGATATCATGTGAACAGTGGGGGTATGTACTTGCACTTTTTTTCCTCCCAGTGTCAGATGACATCTAAGACTTGCAATTACTGAAATTCTGCCAGGTAACCTACATTCTAGGAGAAGCACAGTTGATTTGAAGAAGGAAAATCCTTCTGGAGATTTGGAAGCATCTGATGACAATGTCTATCGATCACAAAAAACAATATGATACTTGGACTGAAGCAAGTAATAGGCTCACCATGTGTTTATGTTGTACTTCCCTCCCTTACATGAAGAGCAAAAGAAGTGAATTGTTCAAGATAAGATTGTGACATAGACGAAACAGAGATTTGCGAAGAAATGTTCTCAAGTGATTTTTAGCTAATGATGTCAGCAGAGCTGCTTTGTGACCCCGAGAGTTGACTATGACTGTCACATAGTGGTTAAGAATGCTATAGTGCCTAAGTTTATATCTTGGCTCCATCTCTTTTTCTCACCTATAGAAAGGGGGAAATTAAGTACCTAACTCATAGAATTGTTATTAACTTAGAATTAATACATGTTCCCACTCTGGTTAGTTATGGCCACTTCTCCCAAGCCCCATGATAACCCTGGAAGGGATATACAGACCCTAGCAGAGTCCTGGTAACTGCTGTTTGTGCTGGATACAGATACCATTCCTGTCCCCAGAGTCTACCCCAGTTCAGTGCCCCTAAAGAAAAAGCTTCTAACCTGGATATGAACTGGAAAACCTCAAGAAGCCCTGTGTGTTAGTTCTCTTCCTCTAGGGAGCAGTTCTCACCTCTGTAGAAACTAAGACCACTGAAAGGCAGGTTTGTTTCCAAGTCCAAAAGTGATCTCTTATTTCTGTGCTGCACGACTTTCTTCTCCTAGCTACTCCTCTTTCTCATCCATCCTTCCACTCATCCCTGCTGCAGAGGACAAAGCCCTTTTCCTTTACTGTTTTCTGCCTGCCTCAGACTCCTTATCTCTAAAGTTATGACTTAGGAAGAGGTATTACTCATCCTGGCCAGAAAAGCAGCTCACGCAGCCTGCTGTTCAAGCTAGGTCTAGAATTAATCCCTCGCCTCTTCTTGCTCCACTTTCACAGCAGCTGGCTAAATCAAGCAATAATCCTAAAAGGGAATTTCAGGCTATTTGTGACTTCCCTTCTGACCCAACCCCCACCCCTGTACCACATTTAGAGAGGAGAGAGCAAAGCCCCTGGATCAGAGTAATCTGTTTCTAACCCACTTCCGTTCCCAGGGATTACCTCTGCAGGAGGAGGGAGACAGAAAGAAAGCTGACACCTTAGCACTGGGAACTTGAGGAAGAAGCTCCAGGAGTGCCAGCAGGGCTATGGGGTTCAGGAGCCTCGGAGTCTATTCTCATATACTGGGGTACCCTGTGAAAGGGTCCACAAACTCGAAAAGCAATGCCTAGAGAAGTGTTTGGCAATAATAGGCGCTCTATAAATGTGTCAAACGAAAGAATGAAAAGTGCATAGATTGTGAGCACGCGAAGGCAAAAACAATTTCCTGATTATACCTACAACCTCATGTCCTTATATACATACCAACTGACAGCTAAAATCAATCAACCAACAAATAGAGAAGTGTGATATAGTGGGAAGTGCTCTGGGTTGGGAGGCAGGAGATACAGGTTCTAGTCCCACCATTGCTGACACTGACTTATCCTGTGACTTTAGGCAAGTCACTTTGCATCCCTGATCGCTAATTTTCCTCATTTAAAAAAGTCACTCTGTAGAGCCCTAAAAGTCTACAGTCCCATGTGATGTGTATTGAGCTCTTACTAATAATACACAAAGGCCCGAGCTCATTTATACACTGACAAGGACACCCTTTGGGGCCCCTGGCGAACCAAGTGCTCAGCACACCTTCCCTCTAGTCCGTTATCCTTCCTCTACCAGTCATGGACCTGGGTATACAAACATTATGTTCCAGCTGACCATTCCTTTGGGATGCTTTCCAGTGGTTGGGTGAGGGCTTCCTTCCCAGCTCTTTGGGGCTGAAGGGAAACTGTGTGAATGCAGAAAACTTCCACTAGAGGGTACCAAGGCTGCACTGGGATCTCAGCCTGGAGGAAGCCTAAGCAAATCCAGCAATTCCAGGAGTTTCAACACCTACATTTAGAGATTTAGAGATCTCTGCTCATTGTTCTTTATCTGGTCTGTTCCTTACTGCTCCTTGGAAGGCTTAAGAAGTCTCTACTTTTTGACTTCATTATGATTTGATTGGACTTCGAATCGAAGGCAGCTTGGTAGAGTGGAATCTATGGGGCCCCTGGCAACTGATAGAGACTCCACTTCTTCCAAACGACGAGCAAATTACTTAAATCCTCTGAGTCTCAGTGTACTCCTCTGTGAAATGCAGATAATAAAACCTTGTAGGGCTGCTGTGAGCACTATCATGTGTGGAAACATGTGGTTGGCAGACATTAGGTGCCTAAAACTGGTGTGTGTATGTGCGTGTGCGTGTATGTGTGTGTGTGCGTGTGTGTGTGTGTGTGTAGGGGGAAAGTTCTAAGAAACTGGAAATGGTGCTAAGGAAAGAGAGATCGATTTGCAAGAGCTGAGGACCTCCAAACAAGAAATGTGACTTTTTGCCATTTTGCTCTTGAATCTTGCGGGTTCCCAGGCTAATGCTACTTTGTCCTTCATAGCCTTAGTCCTCAGTCCTGTTCTAGCATCTGTGTCAGCCTAGCCATGGTGCTCTTCTGCCCTTTACTTGTCCTGGTTTCCTTGGAGGTGAGTTTAGTTTCTACTTCCTACTTACCTCCTAGACAAAACATCTCGTATTTTGCCCTGTGTTTTCTGAAGCAACACCTCTCCACCTGGTTCTGTTCTTCTTTTTTCCTCTCATGTCTGCTACAGTCACTTCTGGAGTAAAATGTGCCATCTGTTTCTGAGACTGAACAGAAGTTTGGGAGAGAGGGAGGGAGAACGTGTCAGGGCTTGCATGTCAGCAGACACGTTACAGCTGCAGGGCAAACCAGGGTGAAACCGCAAGCCAGAGGCCCCAGGGCAGGCAGCTGTGAGGCCCGCCTCTTGGCTCCTTTCTCATCTCTGTCTCACCCCAGAGATTTCCTGGCAAGAGTGGGAGAGGTTGGTATCGAGTCCTTGAGCCCTGACTCATTCCCTGACCTAGTTGGGTGTTACCCAGTTATCTTCCAAATATCTTTCCACGGGCCTTTGTTAGCAACACAACAGTGTCATCCAAGAAGACAGAAGAGAGGAAAGAGAAGAAGAGAGCAGACCACCTACTTATTTCCTCCTGATCTGAGGATTCCAACAACAGATAAGTTTCTAGTCCTCATGGTTTTAGGTACCACCCAGGACATTAGTTATAAAATAAACAAAATTATCTCACATTGCTACACTCAGAGATTGGCTATTTTCCAGATTGATTTATAGAAACAATCAGGTTTAACTTTCTCAAGAAAGAATAAAATCATTTTATTTTACCTGGGCAGAGGAGGGGGCTGGGGAGAGAGGGACCTGGGACTGGAACACTGAGCCAGGAAGTGACTGGCCATTATCACATAGTGAGTCAGGGCCTATCTAGGCACATAATTCAGGTTCCTAACCCCACCCCAAATTCCATTCTCTTTCCCTTGGCCATGTTACTTATGAACTATGATAATGTTCTGGGCTTTCTGGAAAGTTCTTATAACTCCCAAATTCCTGGGGGCTCGATAAAAAATCAATCTATTATGCTTATGGGCTTCTTATGTGTCCCTTTCACTATATGTCCTATGGAAACGTGAGATATATGTTTGTTGCCTCCACTGCAAGTTGTTGAAAACACTGTAGAGTTACCTAAGATTCGAGGAAGACCAATGGAGTAGTCTGTGATCCTGCAGTTAGATCTCAGAGACAGGAGATTCCTTTTTTAAATCATTTGTCGGTATTCACATCCTATCCTTGTGAGTCATTGTATCAGTGGATGCTGAAAATTATTTTCCTATCTCTTCTTTATCCAAAGGTCCCAATCTCTCCCTAACTAGGGTCATGCTTCCTAAAGACATTAGCTGGTTTCCAGGAAAGCAGATTTTAGTTAGCTTTATCCCTTGGCAGAGAGAACAGCGTCATTGCATACAAGCCAGAACATTCTTTCTGCCAGAGCTCCCCATCTGGAAGAAAAGAGAAAAAGAGTTTCAAAGTTTCCATAAGGGCTGCCTAAAGGAGAAGAAGGGAGAGTGAGCCACTAGGAGGGAAGAAGAAAGCTACAAGACTGGAACCCTAAGCTCCGTAGTCTGAAAAGAATATCAGATTAGCAGGCCTAAAATCTTGGCCCAGCATTGCTACACCTTTCCCTTACCTCTAACCCTTAGCCAGGATTTACTTTGCTCCCCATTCCTTTATCTTTCACTTGTACTTATCTGTCCTGCCTGTTCCACCTCAGAATTTTCACTCTATTCTTTGTGTGCTTTCTCTATGGGTGACTTTTAGTTGCCCCAAGACTACTTCTTAATGCTTCTCAGAAAAATAGCATTAAAATAGCATTGAAAGTTAGAAGGAACTTTCTCATAACCTATGATGTACAGAAAGACTTTAATAGGTCCAGGTAGCCTCTGAAATTGAATGTCAATTTATATATATATATCTCTCCATCCCTTTCTGGCAGGAAGACCTACAGCTTCTAATGGGTTCTCATACCTTTCATTCAAATCTCTGCTCTTGACCATGCGGTTCAGTGTTTTTCAGAATAAAGCTGGAAACTTACATTACCTTTGGAACCCAGATCATGATTTCCATTTTTAAAAATGAGGGGTAGCCCACTTTCGGGTACCCCTTCTCACAGGATAGCTGTAACTCTACGCTTTCAATAAATCCTATTGCTTTACCTCTTTAAAAAATGAACAAAATAGAATAGAAAATATCAATATGTATCATACATAGTAAGTACATTCTTTTTGATTAATTGATATTTGATTAAAATGCATGTATAATTTTTAAATTTTACATATATAATCAAAACATCCAACATCATTCATTTAATGTTTAATAAACACAAAATGAATGAATATTAAATGAAGCTACAGATACTGCTCTAATCACTGGGGATATAAAGATGGAAGAGACATGTTTCTGGCCCATAAACACCTCACGTTTAGTAGAAAAGAGACAAGTCCACAAAAAACTACAAAAGAAGGATAAATGCCACTACAGAAGTAAGCACAGGTACAAGATGTAAAGGAGAGAGTATGATAGACCATTTGGGGAGTTCAGATGGGCCCACACATAGGTTGAGTCTAGAGAGAAATATAGGAATTTGAGGTGCATAGTAAGGAGACCTGAAATTCTAGGCAAGAGGATTGATGTATACAAAGACACAGCAGTGTTAGACAACACAGGAAGTTTTTGTCCCTATACTGAGGGGGCCTAGCTGGAGAGGTTGGAAACTCAGGCTGGATAATGGACAGTCTCCCACTAAATGCAGAAAACTGTACATATCCTCAGCAGACAGTCACCCAGCTCCGCTCGGGCTTTCTCTGTGACAGGGAACCTAGAACTTTGTAAGTCAGCTCATTCTGTTCTTGAGCATCTGATTGTGACAAATTCCTTGCTATAGTGATGTAATCTTTGCTTCTTCCCCCTTTCACCCAGTGATTCTCATTTGTCTTCTGCAGCATTACAGAACAAGTCTGCATCCTCTTCTATTAGGTTGAACCAAATGAAATTGCCGTGTTAGACATCAAAATAGTTGAATATTGGCAAATTCGTAGAGTTAGCCTTATATTGGAAAAAATCAGCTATTTGAAGATAGCTATTATTTATCCACCTTAGTCTTCTATTCCCCATATTTAACATCTCTAAATTCCATCTGTTCTTCTTCACCTGGTAAAGCTACTGGATCCTTTTTCAACCTAGTCTCTCACTGGGATACTAGTTTATCAATATCTTTTTTAATATGGGGCATCCAGAACTGGTCAGTTCAAAACATAGTGAGACTGTTATCTCTTTTGATCTGACATTGTGTCTTTTCATGAAACAGTGACTACATTGGGTTTAGTGAGACCCAAACCTTTTTCATATAAAATGCTGTCAAGCCAGTCCCACTCCTTCTCATACAACTGATTTTTTGAAAAAACTAAAGGTAGGTCTTCACTTTATCCCTATCATATTTCTTATTGGTTTGGCATTTTGTTCTAATCTGTCAAGATGATTTTAAATCTTGCTTCTATCATTCATTCTATCAATTATCTTTCCCAGCTAGATCATCATCTAAGTTATTGACGTTTTAAAGATGTTTACTAGAACAATAAGGCCCCTCTGTTTGTTGGTATCAATCTTTTTATCAAGTTCAGTTGAAAAGCTAATTTAAAATCCACATAACTGTGATTATTCGCCCACAGCTCCTCACACCCATTTTGCTAGCCTCCTCTTTCTGCTTTTTTACTACCTTTCTCTGATCTTCCCCATGGCCCATTAAGCAAACCAGACCCACCTAGGCACCACACAACCACACATTTCTGTATAGAACCTGCAAATAGCTGTTTTTAAAGGAATTATCAAGGACTTTCTCTCTTGCTAATTCCCCAATTGCTGTCATGCTGATCTTCCCTCTATGTAACTCTGTGGGAGGCTTTGTGATTCCTAACCCTTATTACCCCCACCAGCCACTCCAAACATGATGTCTCTATATTCTTCTAGGTGTTTAGAATCAGGCTTAGACTTTGGCATGGCTCCTCCCATTGACACTTGGTGTTCTCCTTCTGCCTAGGATAAAATTCTCTTTTTTAGCTTGGCTATTATTCCACAAATAATATGTATAACCTTTCCTCAGTCTTTTTAATGGCCACGTAGTATTCTACTGCATAGATATACAATATTGATGGACACTTAGTTGGTTCCCAAACTTCTGGTTTTATAAACAAAGAGGCCATGAATTGGTTTGCAAGTATCAAGGTAGGATAAATTCCTGGAACTAGAATGGAAGGGTCAAAAACATGTTCATCTTAATTTTGATAGATAGTGCCCAATTGCTCTCCCAGGAGTTGTACCATTTTAATTTAGTGGTGGGTTAGATCTCAGCAACATAAGCAATTTTTAATTAAATATACCTGTTCTTAAAATATATCCTGCTATTATACTATTGGAAATTTGAAATTGTTTTTAATTTTTTCCTTCTCCCTATTTCTCTTCCTTATCCAATTCTCTGTTTAGTCCCCTACTCTGAACTCCAAATTCTTTGCACTCATTTATACAAAGTAATTCTGCTGTCTCCAGATCCTACTACTTAACTCTGCCTCAGCCCTGCATTTTCATATACAAACCTCAACATAGTAAACTTGCTGCCATCCAAAGCCATTCTCCTTAGTAATAACAATACTGAGCACTAACATGTATTAACCTAGTTAATATTCAATAACCTTATGACAGTTACCATTATTATCCCTACTTCATGGATGAGGAAATCAGGGTACAGAGAGATTAAGTAGCTTGTCCGAGGTTTAAAAATTGCACAAATACTATCTGAACCTAGGCAGCACCCCTACAGACAGACACCTTTCTTGGGAGATTAGTCTAGTACTTAGGTCCCTATCAGATTCTGACTTCTTTCTTGGTGATTCCTGTAATGTATAGTTCAGGCTCTGACTTCTCCCCTGATCCCAACCTGGCCCACAGCCTATTTTGTTAGCAGCTCTGCCCCCATGAAAGTGTCTGGAAAAAACAAGTTTGAGGATTGCTTCACTTAGTGGCAGAGGAGAAAGTGTGGGTGGGATTGCAGGCAGAGGGGGACATCAGTCAAGCCCTCTCTTTCTGCAGAGGTGTGGCCTCCATGTTCTGGTCTTTGGGTGGGTCTCCCCAGACAGGAAGGGAGCAGTTGGCTTAGTAGTCTAATTTTCCTTAGAATGCAGCACACTGTGAAATTCAGGAGGTGCCTGAGGCTAATTTAGTCAAATT